CCTGCTGCCTTCGTCAGCGTAAGAGTGTCTGAAGGAAGAGATGGTAATTTGGCTGTATTAACTAGATATGATAAACTATATATAATCTTAAACTAATGAACTGTGAAGAGAATAGAAAATCTGTAATAACAATGTTATGGATCAATGGTCAGAATCAATGATATAGGCCTAAATGATAAACAGAGGACTATAATCATAAGGCTGTAATAGATATGGCCTATGTGAAGCAGGAAATAGAGCATAATATTAAAATATATATTTTAATAGCAGTACACGAAAACATCACATTTCTGTACTGGTAAAACATTTGCTGCAGATCACTTCGCCTTGTGTGTTGTCTCAGGTGATTTTGAACACATGCTCGTAGCCCTGTCATGTCATCATAATTTGTTGGTGTTAGTCTGTTGAGATCGTGAAATCATCAAATCTTTCAGTACTCCCAGTTCAGATGTGTCATTTAAAGATCTTTACTACAAAGAGTTCTAAAATTTTAAAATTTGTTGTGTTCTTCATAGTATTTTTTAAATTTTTAGGCGTACACACATTTTTGTTGGTTAAAAATAAACAAACAAGCACATATAAAAACCTTTCCTACCGACCTGCCCATTTTTGGGGATTTTTCCAAAATGTGACCAACAAAACTATTTTCTTTTTTTGCCTTTATACTACCACTTACATTCATCAACTTTATAGTGACATTGTTGAAACCAGCAGAGTGCAAGCTAAATATATTTTGTTATAATTCATGTACTTATCAGAATTTTTTGTATTAATTTTGTAATTTTCATCTATATCCTAATTATTATTTCTTTAGGACATGAAATGGATGAATGTGAAGGCTTGCCAAAAACCAAAAGTGGAGAGGTAAATAACCATTTTTTTTTTTTGTAATTAATACAGTACAGTACTAGTAGAATCATTAGTCTGATACAAATATATAAATCTGCTGCTGTAACAAACTGTGTATGCTTCCATTATTGTTACTTTACCACTCCACAGAATACAGAAGCTAACAATGTCCATGTACCACCTTAGTGTTCTCCTAACTTTTCAGCTAACCATTTATTGTGTAGTCTTCATCCCAACATATACCTAGCCCTAGGACTGTCTGAATTATTACTTCTGAATTTTGTTCTTGTTCATACATCACAGAAACCAAATGAAACTATTTTGAGATCAATGTATTTTTATAATTATGTGATGGGTTTAAGCAGTAAATTAAACTTCAACAACTATGTTTGAGCTGTCGTGACAAAATGAGTCTTGTGGTATGAAAAATGAAAAAATTAGTTATTGATATATGATAGATGAATATATAAGCTTTTACTTTGTTGTTTAAATCATGTTCCTAGGTTGAGTAAAACTGGAGTAAGATCATTTTAAAGTTCAGATGTCTAAAAACATACTTAAGAGAAAATTGCCTCTAAAGATATACAACTGATAAATTTTGTGTTCGTCTTCCTATTAATTTTGAAAAAAAGCTTTAAAATGCGTGCCTCGAAAACATGATTAAATTAGGTAATTTAACTCGGAACTTTTGCTACTATGAAATATACATATTAAACCAATTTTTGTCAAAATACGCTTCAGATATATTTTCTTGAATATACTGACGTCCCACAAGACTCATTTTGTCACGACAGCTCACATATTTTCAAAACATAATATATACTTTTTTTCTGACCCAAAAAATATTTTTGTTGTTAAATATATTTATGTATAATCTATCTATTATTATTTCTGACAGCATGATGAACTATCAAAGCCTATTGGTCAAGAAACAGAGTTTATTTTCCTTCGCTTGAACATTCTGAGAGAGGTGAGTTAATGACAGGGAAAAGTCATAAGAACAACTTAATTCTGGATAGTTTTTCTATTGTATAACATATATTTTAGTTGAACTTAAAAACCTTTATCACCATTACACAATTCACCATTAACTTCATCCTGTAGTAAATAGGATGTATGTTTGAAGCTTCACTTACATGTAGCCTCACTGTTCTGAGACAGCATTATCAGTGTAAAGATTTTCATAGTGAAAGTTGTGTAAAGCAGGCTAAACTGTGTCTATTTTGTAAATACATACCTAGATCAACCTACTGTATATTAACCAGGGTGTTTTTTTATTTTTTTGGAATATACCTAAAAAATAAAGCAATCTTCTGACCCATTTATAGATATATATATTATATATAATACAACTATGTTACATAACAGGCCTCAATTTTCCTTCCGCTGTTTGCAAGAATTAAGGCCTCTCATGTAACATTGTTGCATTATGTAGGCCTAGGTTGGACGGTTCAAGTATTTTTGAGCTAAATTCCTAAAACTTGCTAATATAGGTTTATTCAGGTAGACTGCCGAAATTACTTCTAATTTGTGTAATTGTCTTGATTTGTCTCACTGTATTGGATAATTTCATTTGATTTTTTAGGTGTTTTTTTTTTTCAGGCTTTACCGTTGGCGGGAAGTATATATTTAATGGTATATTGAATTATAACATTCTTTACAGTAATTGATGATTTTTTGTATTTATTTTTGTTAATTATTTTACATTTTTAGTACCTTGAAAAGGAGCTTTGGATGACTGGTCTTCCGTTTCCTTTTGATATTGAGAGAGCGATTGATGATTGGGTTTTCATGTGTTTCTTTGTCGGTAACGACTTCTTGCCGCATCTTCCTTCATTATCAATTAGGTGGGTACACGTTATGATCTCCGATGAATTAAGGCATGGCAACTTCAAATAAATATGTGTAAATTTTCTTCTTCTTTTTTATTATTTTTATTTACACAATTGAACATTTATAATACACTGTAAAAATATCTGGATATTTTGAGCATGATTGAATATTGGTTTTCTTCAAGACAGTAATAGATGTTTGTTCTATATGGAATGATACTGATTTATATTAAGTTGAAGTAAAATATGTAGACAAATGATCGAAGTTTTGATATTTGATCATACTAAATAATGGCACTGACCAACCAGTCACAATCAAGAACATGAACACTTAAATTACTAAAAAATAATTTAAATTTAGCTGATCGTAAATGACAAGAGTATTTTTTGTTGTACTTGATTTTCAGTTAACAAATATCCTCAAACATGTCATCACCATGGAATTTTAACTTGAAATGTTACTGTTAGGCTTTTAATCCATAAATACGGTATCTTGACTGTATCTTAAATTCATAGAATGTATGTTGAAACCATAGGCTTAGCCAGCGAGCCGTCTGGCCTACAATTATTTAGGACGGCCACTTTTACCGTGACGGCTTGGACGGCTTGTCCTAATCAGCTTGGAATAGCCTAATGGGGCCTGGTCTACCTTTAGCAAATTCTTTATATTCTTCAAATCTTTCAAATGTTACAATAAACTAAAGCTAAATCATATTTACGTTTGATAAGAACAACTCTTAGTGCCATGCCCACTGGCTTCCAATTTGGACAGCCTATTTCGTTTTTCTGGCTAAACCCCTGGTTGAAGCCATATACTGTATCATGAGACAATTTACTGTAGGCCTATCTTTAGATAACACACTTTTACATCTTGAATTTACAGTATACAAATTCAAGATACAAAACATGTCACCCTTACATTACCCACTTTTACAATCGCAACTGGACAACTGGGTTCGTAGCTTTAGAATGTTCATTTGTATGTATATCGTATCAAATAAATTTTTCTATTCTGGGTCCTCGTTTAAATGACGAGTGAATTCATTGTTGAATCTCTTTCTTTGCTTTTCTAGGGAAGGTGCTATTGATAGACTTATCAGACTGTATAAGAAAGCTGTGTACAAAACAAATGTAAGTTGTTAATAAATTTCGAACTCATTTATTTATTATTTCTCTCTGGATTTTTTTACCACTATCATTCCAATTTTGTATTAACAAGCCATTTTAAAAGGCAATACTATCATCAGCTTTAACTGCTTACGTTAAAAGCTTGCAAATACTTAATATTATATATACTGCTAAATTAATAAATTAAATAAATAAATTGCAAACAAATCCGTCAGTTAAGTTAAATATATTGTATACTATAGTTGTTATAAAATGTTATTTTTGTATAAGATATTTTATGACATGAAAAGTACAAGTTTCTAATTTTTTTTTTTTATCTTGTCACTGATTATAATTGCTTTGAGAATATTTTTTTATTTCAAAGGGGTATCTGACAGAGAATGGAATTGTAAATTTAAGCCGTGTGCAAATGATATTACAGGGTGAGTTAAAAATCATTGAAAATAATACAATTTCATTTAGCTCAACAATATTTAGGATAAAATAATTTTCTGTGTTGAGTTCTGTTGTGGAAATTAAGAAATCTTATAATGATATTGTTAATTTTATTTATTTTTTAAAAGTTTCTTTGATAATGTTTCTGTTTATTTAAATTGTTATATTAGATCTTGGTGAAGCTGAAGATGAAATTTTTAAGAAAAGAAGAGAGAGTGATCTGCGATTTCGGAAAATCAATCAAAACAAAAAGCGAAGAGAGTTGGTTAGTTTTTGCAATTTGTTTTTTTTTATTAATTTTTTAAATATATTTTCTCAATCAGTTATTACTTATGTACCATTATTCTTGTATTATTTTTGATGAATAATTGCCTGGATAAACCATCTTCTGGTTGGTGTATTTTCTGCTGGGATCGTCATTGTGAATATTATGTAATAGGGAGCTTTCCATTGCACATTGACAGTAGGACGTAGAATGTAATGAGGTCACTAAAAGTCATCTGCGCATGCGTGAATGTTAAGGTCACCTCGCCGGGTAGATTCTGGAACGCAATTTGGCCAAATTTATGTATGCAGGGAATGTAGGACGCCAGGTAGGACGGTCACGCATGAGTGATTCCGTTCTAGCATTCTTGGTCAGTTGAATCAAGGAGCATTCTTGATTGCGTCAAGGACATGCTACGCGGTGCAACGATTGCAGTGAAAACGCTTTAGCAACAGTGTAGCGATTGTATGGAAACCAACCTTTTCATAGCAAATAATAAGAATTTTAATAATGTTGTAATGTTCTCTCTATCTATAGGCTGATGCACCGCAGTTTGTACCATCTGGATTTTTAGCCCCAACAGTAAGTACTAACAAAACTCCTTGGTTTTTTTTTTTTGTTATTATTTATTTTTAAAAAAAGAGCCAATGAAACCAATAACAATCTAATAACTTAGTTAGTGACTATCACTTTCACAAGACAAAGTTCTCTAGTTAATGTCTTAATATGAGACTTAAGGAGTGGAATGTTGTGGACATGAGAAACAAATCATGTGACTAAAGACTGCAAGTGACAGTGGCAGAAATATTCTGTTGCGTAGTACAATCTATTTACACAGGACACAGCAACAGCTGTTACGCAAGCACTTTTTGTGGCTTGTTCTGCTGTCTACATGCTCAGAGAAGGATGATCGGAGTGAGTGATTGGTTAGAATATTTTTTGTTGTGCGACAGTTTTTAAGCATTTATCCTGTGCAATTTTTTTCAAAAAATTATGCTAAGCCGCACAACACGTCATTCTGTCACGTCGTCCATCACGTTCAGTGTGAATCACTTTAAAGAACATGATAGGTTCTATTTTTTTTTTACCACTGTCGCGTCCCACTGTCGCACTCTTATGTATATAGGCACATTTAAGAGGAATTGAACTGAGGACCTGCGGATTGGAAGACAAGTACCTTAACCACCAAAATACAGCTTGACTTGATTTAAGTGACGTCAACAATAATATATAAATGTTTTTCTTTGTTAGCCTATTGGGCAAAGAGGTGAAGCACACAGTGCAAAGGACATAAGGAATGCAGTACAAGATGGC